CGAACGTTCCCACTGAGTGCATAGGAATTGCTGAGAACTTGATGCAAACGGAATACGGCTTAAAGAACAGAATTACCAATAGAGGTTGATATCACAATGTTTTGGAGGTACTCATAAAAGCTTTGATTTGNCCTATTGCTCACATGTTAAGCTGGCTTGGCAACCTCAGCCCCTTCACCTCCAAACTTAATATGATGGAACAACATACCCCTCTCGGTACATCCGTGAGCAGAGGGCCCCAAGTCAGCAAACCTCAGGAGAAGGAGCTCCCAATTCCGACGAAATACTATGGTCCCTGATTTCTTTTTCGGGAACGCCCTTTCCCATCCCTAATTGCCCGCTGAACACTTACATAACTCCCTTTTACTCTATTTAAAAGTACTTTTGAAACGAGTATTCAGATTAGAGACTTTAGGCGCACTCAGTAGGCACTGTTTTGCGTGAAGACGTGAAGGAAGGACTGAAACGGGTTCGAAAAGTTCCACGCTGGGTGCAGATCCTGAAAACGGTACGTTGCCTACTTTTCTCGAAGTAAAATGCTTGTCATTTACCAATAGTACTAGTCGCTTGATCCATGTTCAGAAGGCTTGTCTGGAAGGGAAGCAACTTAACATGAAGTTGAATTATGTCATAGCCTTTACATTTCATTGTTAATTTCGTTCTAGTATTCGGATTATACAAATCAAAAACACTAAATTTCAGATTTATCACGACTACGGTTTGAAACATGTGTGCTTAATATCTATCCTTATCATTTATCAATTTATTGGCGCTGGTGTATTCTATTTCTGTGAGGCCGGTTTTGACGAGTCCAAAGAGAAGATATGGAATATGAGGTAGTCACAAACCGTCAATTTGCGACTCTATCGCTTTTACCGGAAAACACTAAAAAGGACAAAATTGGACACTCGAAAAATCTATAAATAAATCAGTCAGGGGCCCGACAAATTTCCCAAAACAGATATGTCTGAAACTTTAGGATAGCAGAAAATCGGACAAAATTCGTCTTTGATATTATACCATTGATGTTCAACAACACTGACTACTTATTTTTTCTTACACAGGAGCAGACTGATGAGGTACGTCCGACTAAAAAATATTTATTTGAATATCAATTTGGGATTTGAAAAAAAAGCGTTTTTCTCCTCTAACACAAAGTAATCTCAAAATGCGTATGTGATAGTGCACCACGTGCCAGTGCACCCTTTCCGCCCTTATACTTAACGGTTTGTGTTCATTTATGTGCGAGCTCTAGCAACAAACCATTCGTTCCTGTCTTTCGCAATCGCAATCCACGGTTGACTCATGTGATGACTCGTTGAGCCACATCCGGATGTATATGCTAATTATTCCTTATCTCGAATTCCTCGTGTCACATAGTAGCAAAGATTGGAAGTGGTGCTCGATGCAGAGGCAGAAGGCGTACTATCACACTCGGATGGTCGATCCGAATCCGCGTAGGGAACCAGATCGGTCTTCCACCGGAGTCGGCCATTCGTTGTAAGGCTCGTCTGAAGGACAAAAGCGCTGCCTGCTCCTGCAAGCCACTTGTCGGTCAACTCGTATTTACTTCACCACTATGACTCTGAATGGAAGTCGAACACGGGGCTCATCCCAAAAGCGCATCCAAAAGCAAAAACATAGTCATTGTTACATCAGTGAAATTCAGAAACCAACAAATTGTAAATCCACCACATCTTAGGTGTCGGCAAAACTTCATACTGAGCTGAAACGTTACGAGAAACAACTCGGTATCAAATATACGGATCAGAAGATCAAGTGGGACTTCTGGAACGCTATGTTGTATGCTCAGGTTAGTTAAAAGACTCTAGGAAAGTAATGAACGACAGCGAGCGACTCTCAATGGCACAGAGCTCCGACATATTCGAAAGATTGTGGTCTCAGGAACATGAGTCACGGTTTTCGTGTTATCTCAAGCTAGATGAGCCATATTATTCGGCTTCCCAGAGATGGGAGGAAGATGCAGGGATAGGTTTTTGAGTATTCAATGCCTTTTCTTTAATCTAATTGGGATTTGACGAGTGGAGTAGAAGAAGTTTAGTTAAATTTAACGGGTTATCATTTTGGTATATTAAGTATCCTATGCGATGATGCAATCGGTTTCTAGTCAGTCGCATGGGTGCCCGTCCCATGTACATTTGGGTACCCATTTAGACTTGTGTGGGCACCGTGATAGTTCGCTCATAAATTCTTCAATAGAACTTGAGATTGCCAGACCTGGAATCCTGCGATGATGTGAGAGCAGTAGTGGAGTGGAACCCGTTGAATTTTGGTTCCTCAGACCTTCATCAGGCATTGGTTAACACGGTTTGTTTCAGACAATTTGCACGACGATAGGATACGGACACCTCTATCCATCCACTGTATCCGGTCGTGTATTCACTATGATTTATGCGATCTTCGGCATTCCACTTGTACTGTCAATTCTTGACGATTTAGGTGAGTTCTTTTCTTTTCCTTTGAAACAGCAGAAGTCGTTGAACTTACATACCTACTACGTTTTTTGCTCAGTTTCGAGTCCATCTTAACATTAACAGCGAACGTTCCCACTGAGTGCATAGGAATTGCTGAGAACATGATGCAAACGGAATACGGCTTAAAGAACAGAATTATCAATAGAGGTTGATACCACAATGTTTTGGAGGTACTCATAAAAGCTTTGATTTGAGAACTACTCCTGATATGAACAGCGGCTACCAGCGAAATTTATTGTATAGGAACCATATGCATGTAAAAACCTTGCCACGATTCCGAATGAAAGTTGCAGGAGCCTATCCTGAAAACTGGATTGGCAGTTTTTATGGTTCAGGAAAGTGGTATGTAAAAAGTGTACACACTGTGTCTTTTACACAGGAAGTAGTGTAAAAGATCTATCACTTTCTCTTTAAACGAGCACGACGCTTTTGACAGTTTTCGGCTACAACAATTAATTGGAAATGTCCACTCGAGTGATGCAGATGTCCTCATTCCAAACCTATCGCTTCATGCTATCTCGTCAAAGCGGGGGTCAATGAGCAGCGAACACCAATCGGCATTTGCATAAGTANATCGCAAGCTCGCGGATAGACCAAATCAGGAGCCATTCCCCAATGTGAAGTTCGTGGTTATATTGAGCAACATTCGCTCTGAACGAATCGTCTAATTCATGAATTACTTACTTTACAAGTTTCCAGCAGAGGGCGAGGTCAACGAACATACTTACAACAACTTTCATTTTAATCTTTGGGGTCTCCACGTCGTCGTTGAAACTTTATTTGAACTTCGATATTCTGCTTGACTTACCCTTTAATCTCTTTTCCACAAGCTATATTTTACTTGGGTCCGCAGGTGTAATGAAAACCTGCCATATACTCCCCCAACCTCTGAGGGAGGGTCCTCGTGACATGACCTCTGTTCCGGGAAGCCTTGACCGTAGCTACTTGCAGTCAAGTCCCAGAACTACCGAAAATGTGAGGATTGAGCTGCGAGGTCAACGGATCCCGCATGCGACTTCCCACCACCCCCAAGTTTTCGAGGAAGTTCTCGGAGTTCTGAAAGTCTTCTATATGTCATGGGCGGTGATCATGAACCAGGAGTTTATGACATAAGCCAGCGCGAGGAAACTCCTTAGGATATCCTTATTTGGCATTCTTCTGGAGTAGGTCTACCATTCCAAACATAAACCATACCGCTTTCGGTGGCAGACCTGGAGTTTGTCAAAAGGAGAGATATCAAAAATACATATTTGTTAGATATTAAAAAACTGCTCTACAGATTCAAGTATGCTTCTCTCCGATGAAACGAATAGTATGTCTCGCTTATTCCTTATATCAGTAAATTATCACGTCTCTAAATGTCAACCATCATGTAGTCCTAGGAAAAAATCAAAGCAAATGGTTGCTGGTTAGTCAGCGGATGCCAGCTCTACGATTCATGAATTTAGGCAAACTACTGACACGATGTCTGAAAACACCGTGGTGGTTGATCAAGTGCGGATGCCGACGTATGTTTCGCTACTGTACGAAACAAACGATGGCTGAAATACGAAAATTAGATGCCGAGGATAAACGAGGTAAGTAAAGCTTTATTGATTGTCACTACACAGACGCTTGTTGCTAGCTCACTCAAATTCGAAGAAAAGTATCAGTCTGATATATCATGCACTCCTTGTATCCTCCAGTTCCAACCGATTTCCCACTCAACTTCGAAGAAACCTACATGGCGTAAATAATATTTCCATCGTCAACTTGTGCTATTTTCAGATCTGGACATTTTCGACTTGCCAATACCTATCGCTATTTTCATAGTAATTACATGGATATTCGTGTGCTCAGCCACGTTTTGTATTTGGGAGCACGACTGGGATTACTTCGTTGCTTTCTATTTCTTCTTCATTTCGCTGAGGTGACTTTCCATAGGCTTTACCGATCAATTGAAGATAACTGGCGCCTGTTTAGCACAATCGGGCTGGGTGATATCACGCCTACACAGCCAAAATATCTGCTCATGTTATTTATCTACATCATCATAGGATTATCACTGGTTTCTATGTGCATCAATCTGATTCAGGTACTTCTGTGGAGGATTATTGGAAGTGGACTCGCAATTAATTCCGGATTATTTAGGCGAAGTTGGAACGAACGTACGATGCTGGCCGCATGCAGGAGCTGGAAATGGAGGCCATCGGTTTACTGGCTGCCGAAGCAAAACTACCACAGCGCCGACCAAGCAGCTTGGGTACTCTAAACGCTTTCTCAGTTGTGCTCTTTTACCACGCAAACGTGCTTCAGTGTTGCACTGTCTTCTGCTCTATCCCGTAGGCTGACGGATCTTATCACTCGTAGAATAAGCGAAAGAATGTCGGACGTATAAGCAAGTAATCAGATATTGCAACTCGAGCTGTATGATCGAACCGCAGTCCTATGTATAGTATGCGCGAATACCGGACTCCCCCTTGGCTATCCATAAGCAAGGGTGTAATTCTTTTCCTTTCTAGGTACATTCCAGCAATGGAAATTTCGTGAGAAAACTTCCTTAGCTCCTTCCTTCGATGAAACTTCCTGCTGCTTTTGTTCTTTTTCTTTATTCTCATAATGACTGTATCCGATCGATCAGGAGTGGTGGGCCCGATGTGAGACGAGCAAATGGGACAGTCTTCTAAGAATCTACCAAAAAGATTCCCAAAGTCTAAATTTTCTTTGAGTACTATGGAGATCAGGGCGGAGGTGCTCATGGAGAAGGTCGCCAGAGGAGACAGCGTAGACACTGCAAAACTGACCCATTATCTGCACAAACAGGGGCTGAAAGGAGAAGAGAGGTCCGATGACGTGGATTTCTACCGAGCACATTTAACCGAATCGGCGTCTCACAAATTTGTCGGCCTGTATCTGGTTGCGAAGTCTTTCGGTCAGCTGGTACTACCTTTAATAGGCTCTGTTCCCTTTCATTATAAGCATGCAGCGAAATTCATTTAGCTTGTTTTCAGTTGTTTTTCTGCAATCCTCTTCTTTGATGAGCTACTGCCCTCCCTTCCATTTCCATGTTTCTTCCTTATCTATCAGTGTGCTTACCATCTCAGTGCGTTTTGCGAGCTCTGTTTGTTACTGTGCACAGAACTGTTGGTGTGGCTACATTACAGAATCCTCTCTTTAGGCATTTTCCGTTCGTCGTCTTCGGGGATGTCGATGAGTAGGGAGGCTGTACAAGCAGCATTGGCTAATCGTCGACGAACCAACAAAACCTGTCAGACTGTGCTTTCGTTTCCATCACCCACTTGCTCTAACTCCTACATTTGTCGCACGGTGTCAAATTCCAAGTAAGGCCATCCTTTTCCATCTTGCTACACATAACATATCTAGAAAAAATTGGCAGTTTGGCGAATTTCCGTGTGTGACACTGATCCTACCTCGTGGAAAATGTATTAGGTTGGCAAATAAGTCCTGCAACAAAATGGACACCTTTTTTCAATCATTTCTAAATTTTTTCATATCAATCAATTTTCGGAAAAATATTTACTGAAGAAGTCAACAACCTTCTTTTACTCTTTGAGCCATTCACTGATGCCATCTCTTGAGGAAAGAAATAGCTGTGACTCAAAGAAGTAATTGACTGCCGTTTTTGGATCACATTAAGTTACTAATTTCTTTCCCACAACGGGATGCTCGAAAAGGCGGAGCACCTGGTAGTTAAAAGGGGGAACACTCCGGGAGTACTGATGAGTAACCTACAACCAATCGGGATCGGTAAACTTTTGACGTGGGTCTAAAGCGAAATTTCGACGTGCGTTGTCCCTCTGTTGGGACTTGATTTGAGGTTTTGATCGTCCTTCTCTAACCCCCTTGGCTAATAAAGGGGATCATAGGGGCATGCGATAGTTGTGTCCATCTAGTCTGCGTTTAGCAACTCAAAGTGGATGGATTGTTTCAACCTCGATTAAATTANTGATTTGAGGTTTTGATCGTCCTTCTCTAACCCCCTTGGCTAATAAAGGGGATCATAGGGGCATGCGATAGCTGTGTCCATCTAGTCTGCGTTTAGCAACTCAAAGTGGATGGATTGTTTCAACCTCGATTAAATTAAGGGACGATGCTTGCGTTACTCCGACGGCTAGTATCTCCTGCAGTGAAGCGATCCAACCGATTGTTGACCGTCGATCGGTGAGCAGCGCTAGCATCGAATAGATTGCTGATATTTCGAGCCGTTAAACTCGCGTTTTTTCCTTCGCGTGCTTGGTAGAAGGTGATGACACGAATTAGGTGTTGTCCATTCATTGACCGTAATGCTGCGAAAGCCCACAAGCGTGCCCTTATTTACTCATGTGTTGATCCCCCGGGGAACGTCCTACAAGTTTATCACCCTTGCTACCGTGTTCACACTGTTGATACAAATTTTCAACGCTTTGAATTTTTTGTCGCAGGACTTATTTGCCAACCTAATACATCACACCCAATCTAAAAAAAGTGACTCGACTAAAGCGGCGACGAATGTCGTTAGGAACTCGTGTACCCATAGGGTCTCGCCTCAGTTGGTAATCTTATAGCATAATATAATAGTAGCTAGTCTTTCCAATCCCTTCCATATTTAATTTACTGATTGCTGGCATGCCGGCACAGTAGCGCTCAAAAGTAACTTTGAGTCATAACTTCTTTCCTACTGGATTTAATCATGGGAAATTGCAGTATGTATAACGTGGTGTACTTTGAATATCGACCACTAATAACTGCAGTCCTATCATGTTCCAGATATCCCAAGGAGTTTGAACTCGAATTCAACCGGGAATATGGACAACTGGTCCTTCTGAGATTTCTTTCCTTTTTGCAATGTCTAACGGGTACGAGTTCTAATGCCGAACACAGTGAAGGGGAAAAACGCACATATGGTGCGAATAGTTGCAAAAGTCGCTAACCTTGCTTTCAGCGAACTCTGCTACCCGCAACAAACATCTTGCTCTCGGTTATGTGGCTATAGCTGCTTTGTAGTCAAATAGCCTTGGGAAGCGTGAAATATGCTTCGGTTAAATATATCGAAACTTCGCCGGATTTGCTCTACTGAGAAAAGAAATCCGAAAAACCATTTGGCCCAAGACTCTTGAGCGCTACTGTGTGTGTATGTATGTGTGTATGTATGTATCTGTGTGAATGTGTGTATGTTGTGATGTGTATGCACGTGTGAATGTTTATATGTATGCGTGTATTTATATGTGTATACGTACATATAAATATGTGTGTGTTCAGTATGTGTATGTGTGCACGTGTATATGTGTGTATATAGGTGTGTATATGTGCGTGTATGTGTGACCGTAAATTTACAACTTCTGATTCCCTGAATCTAGAACGTTCAAATTTGAAAGGCATAATTGCGATTGGGTGAGACATGGCATTGGCATTGGACAGCCACAAATGCTGATAAAGATTGAATAGGAGGATCATGGATATCAACTCGTACCAACTGATGCTTCGTTTGACTGATCAGAAACAAAAGTTGCACCGCACCAGTAGTGAGCGTTCAGTGTGTGCTTTTGGATGAAACTACGGAATTATACATGACTTATCTGGAAAACACCCAAAATAGATAATTTGTTATCAATCAGAATCAAAGAAACGAACGAACGTTACAAGGCAACGAAGAGGCATGCGACATAACACAATATAATAAAAAACCATCGGATCGCCCGGATAACGCCAGGCTCTCCTCCTTCTCGGGTCAAACACCCCATCCCGAGAAATATTTAAGTGAAGAATTTTTTTCGCCTTTTTCAAAGTTTATAGATTTTAAGTTTTTCCGCTGTTTAGCTGAGTGAGAGTATGAAACTGAAACAGAGCTCAAAATAGATTATGTCGTCGTAGCATATCACTCAGTTGGTTCCCCCGACTGACGCTGAGCTTCCCTTCTTCTTTGACAAAGTTGTAGTAACTCGACTAACTCTTCACTCATTTTTTTTTGAAACAAATAATTGTCTCCTGTACACGAAATTCGACGCAGAACTAATAGGGCAACGCAAATGGTATACAGTGAAAGTCGGTGCATACGCCTTCAATTGGAATTCCCGATCTCTTGCTCCCTTTATTAAAAAAAAAGTACCCATCAAATATCCAACTGTTCATGAATCCATAAATTCAAAAAAATCCAAAGATGATGCTGTGGAGATGTTCTGACGATGATAGCACCACTATCAGATGCTCTTTATCAATGTATCAATAGACCCTTTCCTTCGCGGAGATATCATTAGTTGTGAATTCCAGATTACGGGCGGTCTATTAAGCTTTGCCGTAGATGATATCGAGCAAAAAGGATCCTTCATTGAATCACAAACCTTGCTTGGTAGCGGTCATAATTTAATAGTAAGAAATGAACAAAGCTCTAATCTGCTTATCGTATTGCCCTAATGGGTCCCTATCATTGCACTTACCACTCGCTTTTGTTACCCTTCTCTACCATACCGTCTTATCGAATGAAACATACTGAACGGTTAAAGTTCCATAGTAGATACCGAAGACGCTAGGATTTTGATGGGTAGATGGCCTTTCTTGGATCCCTTTATCTTCTCCTATCAGTCAGTTATTATCGGTTCCTGTCATCGAGAATCTACGAGATCTCATATCCTAATTCACTTACCAAAATGCCGAGGTCCCATTGTTAGTTCGAAAAGTGTAATCCTACCGAATTTCAACGCTCTAGGTCCACGTCAACAGGAGCCATGATAATGCGGCCCAAAATTCCTATCGC